AAATGCCCCTATTCATGCGGTCACCTGGATGAATCCACCATCAATGAGTTCAGTGCATATATCCAATTTCCATGGTGCTTCAAAGCACAGAGAAGCAGGACAAACCTGGAATTAAAACCATCAGCAAGGCCTTAGAAAGAGCAGGCAAGGTGATGCTCTAGAACAGGGGTCTCCAAACTTTCTAAACAAAGGGCCATATTACTGTCATTCAACCTCTACGAGGTCTGTAGCGGACTGTAGCGGGTGGGAGAAGAGAGTGCCTTGGTGTCGATGGAGGAGTAATAGTGCCCCTTTAGTGGCATCAATGGGAGGAATAGTGCCCCATCATTGGTGTCAGTGGAAGGAATAGTGCCCCAACATTGATATTATGGGGGTGAATAGTGCCTCTTTGTTGTAAATGATATTAGGAATAGTGCCCCATCGTTGGTGTCAGTGGGAGGAATAGTGTCCCATCATTGGTGTCAATGGAAGGAATAGTGCCCCATCATTGGTATTAGGGGGATGAATAATGCCTTTTTGTTGTTAACAATGTTAGGAATTGTGCCCCATCGATGGTGTCAGTGGGGGAAATAGTGTCCCATCATTGGTGTCAATAGAAGGAATAGTGCCCCATTATTGGTAATAGGGGGATGAATAGTGCCTCTTTGTTGTTAACAATGTTAGGAATAGTGACCCATTGTTAGTGTCAGTTGAAGGAATAGTGCCCCATCATTGGTATCAGTGGGAGGAATAGTGTCCCAACATAGGGAGGAATAGTGTCCCATTGTTGGTATCATTGGGAGGTATAGTTTCCCATCGTTGGTATCAATGGGAGGAATAGTGTTCCATCGTTGGTGTCAGTGGGAGGAATAGTGCTCTATCTTTGGTATCAGTGGGAGGAATAGTATCCCTTCTTTGGTGTCAGTGAGGGAACTAATGCTCCATTGTCGATGTCAGGAACTAGTGCTCCACTGTTGCTGACAGTGGGGAGAATAATTACCCAAGGGTCGGATAAAAGCAAGCATCTGGCCCCCAGGCCACATTTTGGAGACTACTGCTCTAGAACAAAGAAACTTGTACCAAGACTCTTATGACTCTGAATAATCACAGACAACCATGTAACTTAATCCTGGGCATACTGCAGCTACTTTCTCTGATCTCTTATCCTATTTTGAAGTTATGTTAGATAAAGCCCTGGACAGGATGTCCAGATAATTTACTGACAAGCTAACTGAAGAGACATATGCCATTGGGAAACATATCAAAGCACAGGAAGCTCACTACCACAATAAAACAACCATCCTAAACAGTAATGAAGAGGAAATGGAAGTCCTAAAGTGAGTGAATGCTATTTTGTATTCACAATTACACCATAAAAACTGTGACTGCTGCTCTAAGGCCTTCCAGAAACCATTCTGAACCAACAGGCAATGGTCATTGACTTATTCCAAGAGCTGACTCAGAAGCTTCCAGTTGATCAACTAGGATTTGATCAGATCCATTGAGCTTTGACCAAATATACTACAGAAGGCCCACCCAAAGTAAGATCATTTGGCTACATTACTTCAAAACCAAAATTGATGCACCTTGAAATCTTTTTTGGTGGTCCTACAGACACACCACATTAGGCGCTGCTGAGGCTTCTCCTTTAAGCTGGCCTTCACATATCAAGGCATGTGGTTATATGCATTGAAACTTTTAATCAGCATGCTTCTGCTTTGTCCAGTGCCTCATCAGACAGAACTGGACTGCTCCACAGATGAGGATAATCCTACTTTGCAGATTAGGTATCTTCCTGACTAACACCTAGGACATCCTCTACCACACCAACTATGCCCCCACTGTTCTAGCATTTGCACAGAATACTAAAGATCTGTAAGGAATATAAAATATCTTGGACTGACAGTATAACTGCAGTAAAAATGTTTTTGCTCTGTAAGTTTCCATACTATGTGAGAATATTAAAAGTGGCTAAACCTTGAACGTTGCAAGACCAGATTTCATGTTTTGCCCAAGATGAGGCTAAGGGTATTCAAAATATTGCTGTTTGCATATCCCTTTGTGGGCCTATATTGAAGTTACTTCTGTAAATCCCTTAACATACAACACCCTTATGTGGTTGTTCCATCATTGGTACAAACAACATACTAACCACACCAAAACCCACTCTTTAAAGATATGGGATGTTGTTAAATACTTCTGTGGTCTTTTTTCCCCACACTCCTCTTTATTTACTCTAAGAGTTAACCCTATGTTTGTTATGAGATTTACAAACCCCACAGCATTCCACAATTGGGCCAAATGTAATTTACTTGGTATCTCTAAACTCCTAAGACCATCCAATGTAAACCATTTTCATCCCTTCAGAAACATCATCACAGCATCACTGGACATTTTTTTGTTATCCTACGTCAACCCCTCTGCTGCCAACCACAATACCATAAGTATGATCTCTTTTCTATATTCCCAACTAATGCAAACTATACATACTTCTTTCCTGTGTGCCTCTAAATGGGAAGCAGACTTAGTAAGTACCAATACCTCCAACTGACTAGGACCGTATTTGTATCTCTACCTTTAAAAGCTCTAATAATGTTATTGCCCTGAAAACTAATTGCAAACTTTTTATGAAATAGTACCTAGCCCTGTCCAGGATTTCTAAAGCTTTACCAAACAATTCCCCTAATTGTTTTAGAGGTTGTTGAACAGAATGCACCTTTGCTCACATGTGGAGAAAATGCCAGAGAGTATAATGGTACTGTTTAAAGATCTACCAGACAATATAAGCTGTTATGAGCGTCTCAATTTTGCAGGAAACCCTTCAAGGCCCTTCTGAATAAAAAACACAGATGTGCACCCTAACTACAACATATCTTTGCATATAGGCATTGTGTGTTCTTGGAACACTCTCCTTTCAACAATTCCTAAACTTAAGGTTTCATACAATGTTTTTTTTTTTAGAAACATGTAGTGCAACAGAATGGTGTCATGGACAGATTCAGCAATATCTGGACTCTGTGGATAGACAAAGACACTTTGGCATTTTAAGCCCATCCCCGTGCCTTCCAATTATGCTGAGGGAAGGAAAGCTGTTGGTTTGTTCCTCCATTATTCTCTTTGTATTGGCTCCTTCACCTGAGCCTTTTCTTTAAAGTTCTATTTTACTTTTCCTCTCCTCTTTCTTTCTTTCTTTCTTTCTTTCTTCCTTACTTACAACTATCTCTGTTTTTTTTCTGAGTACTATTTCATTCTGTATGTCTTAAATATATAGTCAACAGACCTTACTACTATTCCTGCTATACAGTAACGGTGGCCCTTTTGGATCTATATTGCCTCACAGAATATTTGTTGTATCAGATGAAATGTGACCTTATGGATACCATATACTAAATTGTAATGGCAACGCTGGTATTGTTTCTTTATTATTGTAAGCTATACATGTATAACCTACCTGTACAAACTCTGTAAATTTTCGAAACCTTATAGAAATCTATCAATCAGAAAAACTATCACCTCTAATACACTCAAGTACAGCTAATCCAAGAAGTTTATTTTGGCACTAAAAGTTGCTAGTTATCTTCACATGCTCCTGTTAACTACTAAGGTGTAGGATCTATACTATATTAAAAAAAACATCTATATTATGATACATTTGTCATGAAAATTACCAAAATCTTAGGATTGTTTTAAATGTCACACTACAATACACAGCTATTTTTTTCTCATCTTAAATCCATTATTTCATATCCCTAAAAGCCACATTTCATGTTGCAGACTAGGAACCACTTATCATATCTTAATTATCGTAGAAAAAATCATTTTATGTTTAATTGCTTTCCCTTAGATTGTGTGCCTAAAAGTTTGAGTCTCATAAAATAGCCCATTGCTGCTGAATATTAAAAGACCATATTTTGATTACAGCTCTTCAATACACTTACTGTACGTATTTTATAGAGCAATTTAAAAATAGTGCTACTTGTCCAGAGCACTTTCAAAGGGAACAATTTTATTTTCAGTAAAGCTGCTATTGCTTAAAGCAATTTGTAATATTTTTTTACAGCTGTTAAATGCCTTTTAGAGTATTTTAAATCAAAAATTCATTTTTTGTACAGATTGTCTCGTGTTTGTCAAGTTAAACCCAGGCATTGTACATTATACCAACAATTTAGTGTACCTTAGAGACAGAAAGAAAAAAAACATGTACCTATAACCAATCTCTGGCTATTCCGCAGCATTTTCTAAAATTGTAAGAAGCATTCTGTAAACATTATTAACCACAAACTGATTTAGTGCATACAAGTGTCACATCACAAAAATGTATAGTTTGCATGTAGTACTAGGTAAAGAGGAACTACAGACTAGTGTAAAAGGTAAAATACATCAGAAATAGGGCAAACATGAATGTACAAAGATATATGTGATTTAAAGGAAAATGTCACTTAAACAATAAAAGCCATTTTGTAATTTATTGTTACTAAAAAATTACCTTTTCATTTCAATTTGCAGATGCTGTCATTTTCTAAAATTTCCAAAAAAATCAAATATCTCTTTCTTTCAATAGGGCAACCTGGAGGAGTTCTATACACCACTGGAAATCTAAGGGACTGCTTTTATTATTGACTCTTTGCTTTTCCCAGACGTCTGCACTAAGCTAACCTAAGTCAAATTCAGGTAATACCTGCAATAGGAGTTTAAAGCAGATATTTCATCCCCAAAAGGGAGCTTGGCTTTCTGCAAGCTCCTAATCCCCTGCAATACATTTTTTTGCTTGTTTACATTTTTAAAATTATTTTAATATGGCCCCATTCCCTATGGCCCTGTGTTCCCATCCCTGCAGATTTTTATAGATAGTCCATCACATATCCCAGGTGGCTGCAGAAGTAGGGACTCAAAGTGACAGGTGGGTGGGCCTGATACACACCATCAGTGCTGGTTGCAACAACCTGAAAGAGGCAGCCGGGATCCTGATGATAATCACAGCAGGACAATGCTGGATTTGCTGGGCACGTGAATATGCAAATTAACCTCCCTGGCGGTATTCCCGAGTGTAGCTCGGGGTAAAGTTTCAGTACCATAAGCGGTAACCCGAGCTACACTTGGGCTTACCATGCGGCGCTATTCCGGAATCCCTCAATCACTTACCTTGTCCTGTGCTCCCGCCATGTCCCTCCTGCAGTGTCCCCGGCAATGTAATCCGGCGGATGCCAACATCTGTCATCTGGGTTCCGTCCCCTGCGAGCGTTGGGACGTACCGGGGACGGAATGGCGGGAATTTGAAAATGACTAAAAGTGACATTCACTAAAATCACTAAAATCACATAGTAAAACATTACTGTATCAAACCATTTCACATACATTTTGTCCCGAGTGCTTTGTCCTGTGCCCTGCCTGCATTTTTACTGTTCTTTCGGCCTGGAAACTGAGAAACGTCCATGGTGTCCAAAAAGTGTCCCTTTAGGTCAAAAGCGGTTTTAGACCAGCTAGAGAACAGCGATAGTAAATCAGAACCACTTGCAGAATTGAGTGATAATGATTCGTAGGGAAATTTGTCATCAGACACTGAAAACGATTTTGCAACTTTGCTCAGTGATGTGCGAACTTGGCGCTATATTTCAAATTTCAATGTTTTTGGTTTGAGTATTTTATTGAATTAAATTTATTATTATATTATTATTTTTTTATGATTATTTATTAAATTATAATTTATGATTTCATGTTTCAAGTTTTATCCTACCCGGGATGTTTACTAGACTCTTGTTCAGACAGATTTCAGTGAGTTATTCCTAAAAATTACAGGCCTACAATAAAAAAAAACATATTTCCATGCAATAAAATGTACCACTTTGAGCACAGAAATATGGACATAATCAGACCGCTAGGGAGGTTAAGGATAACCCTGCATAGAAGGTAAGAAAGAAAAAAAGTGTGGTGAAAGTGTATCTCTTTTGTTTTGGTGAGATACTGTGTAAGGTTCATCAGCTGCTAAATGAAAGCCAATACTGCAGTTTTTTTTTTCTAAAACACTTCCAATTTTTACAAATTTTATATAATTACTTTTGCTTCTTTTGAGATTTTTTACTGTTTTATTTAGAACTTTAAAAGTTAATAAAGACCCCCCAAAACCATATATTTTCTGAAAACCCAGCAAACATAAGAAAAAAATATGAAGCTAGCCAAAACTAAAACTATATCATCCATTGAGGTCATAGATATAAGCAAAAAAACAGGAGACCAATAGATCTCTTTATCTGATCAACTATCATACATATACTCACTCAACTGCATCACGATGTTGTATAGTTTTCTATGCTCAGTGACAATTTCTACACTCTATAATTTTTTCATAGGGTGGAGGAACCAAGAAGACCCATCACCCCATCTCATCTACCATACACTCTATAAAACTGCCAGCATTTTTCATATTATTATCTCAATTGATTTTTTTTTTACATCCAGCAAAGCCAGATCACCAGGAATTTCTTTCCACACTTTCCATGTTGATTTTTGAATTTCTCTAGCTCCAAAACCAGCTTTATTTGTGCATGCCATTCAGTATTTTACGTTGAAACTTGAGTCACCCACTTTCTTGCAATTAATTCTCTGGCCATAAATAGTCATATAACTACCAATGCACTAGGACAGGGGTGGGCAAACTGCGGCTCTCCAGCTGTTGCAGGAAGTTCCATCATGCCTCTGCAAGTCATAGCTGTAACTGCCAGTTTTGTAATGTTGCAATGCCTCATGAGAAATGTAGTTCCACAACAGCTGGAGCTGGAGAGCCGCAGTTTGCCCACTCCTGCACTAGGATGCTCATGAGCATCTACAGATATATCTAGATTCCCCAAAATGCACGCAAGAGGGGTACAGGACAAATCTGGTTGCTATATTTGATAATATCCTGACAGTACTGCGTTGCCTTAACACTGTGTACACTAATGTACAAAATCATGTATATTTAAAAAACACTGTCACTTTGCCCATTCAGAGCAAAGAGACATTGTCTATATTAAGGCCCCGTACTGATACTTACCTTTCCAGCGATCACTTACTGCTCCATCCTCTGCAAGGTCCAGATATGGGTCACAAGGCAAACTAGGTCATACACTAGAAGGCAGAAATAGCAGATCAGGTCGCAGCTAAACAGGTATTAGCTGAAGACAACTCAGTAATCTCTCCTTGCAGTGCTCCAGTTTATATAGAATGTTTTGAGACAACACCATTGTTGAGCATCCACACATACTAATGCATGTCTGGTGGTCACTTTATGTACTGGGCCACATACCACAGTATCCACATGGGCATGCATGTACACTGGTTTTCTATGCTTATACAAACTGGACCTTACTTACAAAACCAGTGCTAAGGCAGTGCTAGAACTCTCCAATCATTAGGGAGCATGAGCTTTGCTAATTATCAGAGATCTGGATCTGACTCAGCAGGGAGTGTGCTTTCACAGAGAAAGCAAGAGAGCAAATGCTCCTGTCATTCTCTCCTTTCAAGCATCAGAGTGTAAGCAGGTGTAGTTAGCTGGCTGGTCACTAGATGACTTTGTTCCTATTATAGCCAGTGAAAGTTAAAAGCAAGTGATAGCTTTCCTTTTACCTAGACCCTCCTACAGTGATGTTATGGGTTAGTCAGCACCCATAAATAAACTAAGTGGGGGGAGCACTCAGTCTCATGAGAGCTAAACACCACACACCTGTGAGGATGTAGACAACACCAGGGGCGGACTGACAACTCATGGGGCCCCCGAGCAATAGGGGATCATGGGGCCCCTGTGTCCTTGCCCAAACTCAAAAAAGCCTATGAAAAAGGTACCAGGGGCATCTCATGGGGCCCCCTACTGACCCCCGGGCCCTCGGGCAGTGCCCAAGTTTCCAAATGGTCAGTCCGCCCCTGGACAACACATTTAGACCCTGGACAGAGCAGGAGGCCAGGTGGAGTGGACCTATATGCAGAAGGTGCCAGCTGTAGATGAGGGCTAGGGCAGATTACAAAAGGCAAGGCTGGAGACACCTGTGTGAGACTGCTTCACTGGAGATTACCCAGCTCGGAGATTATTGCAAAAAACATAGTCCTATAAGTACTGATGATCCTGGGCAGAGGATAAACTGAAGGGAGATGGCTGTGAGGTGCTGCACCTGCTTTCACTTGTGACTACTGTGGATCACCCACTTTATGTGTTTGACTGTGTATGTCAAGTGGCTCCAGAATGTATGTCCTCATGATGTGATTGCTTTGCCATTGCATGAACAACACCAGTAAAGTGCAGTGAAACTAACCATCGTGTGGATTTTCCTTCTTATGGATAAAAAGGTCTATGGTCAGGAATGTCACGAGGAGGCCTATGATGAGGAGCTGGGTACAAAATGGTGTAGGGGCTTCCTCATCAGGTGGGATTGTATTCTAGCAGGGCTGGAGCGGGGGTAGGGACTTATACTTGGTGCCAAAATCGGCTAACCTTACAAGTTGAAAAACAAGGAAAACCCTAAAACTTCAAAAGGTTTTAATTACACATGAAACTTTAGAGAAAATAATCACATAAAAAACTAGTATAGGTCTAAAAACAGTAACTAATGTAAGAGTTATTTGATATTTGTTGAAAAACTGGGATATTTAAGAAAGCACTCCTTTCTGCCACATACACAATAATGTGTAATGTATTTGTGAGAATGAGTGTGTTTGAAGGACTATTATTACTATTACCTACATTAATAGAAAGTAGCTGTGCAAAGAATAGTATACACTACATACACGATTTTACTGCATATCAGTCACATAATAGTGACTCATGCGTTGCTAGTATGTTATTTTCGTAGGCTTGATTACCCTTATTTTCCAAATGGGGTATATATAAACTCATGGACTTCATCTGAATATGGCCTAACTGACAATTGATTTTGTTTGGCCTAATTTGTGAAGATTTGTGTATATATTCAAAACTCTGCTCATGCTTTATCCTTTCATTGCAAGGATAGCTTGTTAAACTTGAATAATGATTTATAGTACTTTTTATTCTGACATTTTTTTTAAAAGAACAGTGAAAAAGTTAGGGCAGACAATTTATTAAGTATATACAGACAGGTTACAGTGTAAACTATTTTATTCCTCTATTGAACATGGATTTGCATGGCTTTTCTCCTCATGTTGATGAAAATCAAGCAGCTGGGCAAAGATTAATAATTTTAATTTTCACCAGAAGATAATTGATTCATTTTAATTAATTAAATAGACCACACTATCCATCTCCTAGCTCAGAAATTAATACAGTTTTTCTAATTAGAATTTGAGGGAAAATTAATAGATTTTTTAAAATATCCTACACTGCTGTATAGGAAGCAAAATGCAACAGCTCCCCCATACTGTCCTTTGTAGACTTTTTATTGTAATGAGTACTATTTAAATGCTTTAAAATGTCAATGTGAGTATAATTATTTCAGTTCACAACTTACTGTTCTGATCAAATTATAACATATTGTAATTAGGGATGAGCTGCAGGTTCCAAGTGAACACATATTTCGCAAGAGGAGAATGGCCAAACTAAATGGGGTGCTCGGCCAAGTTGAACCTCTGGCAGCAGCCAGGAGTGAAATGTTTAGCAGTGGTAATATTAGTGCTGCTAAATGCAACAGCTTCCTGCTCAAGCTGGTTGTTAGTCAATCTGTAACCACTTGCTTTCTAGCAAAATATCCCCACCTGGCCCATTCAGCTGTCAGCCTGGAATTTGGGCTGACAGGTTAATGTGAAAATATGGACATTGATGGTGGCTGAAATATAATAAAAAATGTGTGGGGTCCTCCCAAAGGTAATATCAGACCCTGTTATGGATTTCAAGGCCAGGCATGGATTTCAAGGGGTAACCCCACGCAAGAAAAAAATGCTGTTCAAGTGGCTCTACATTGCTGGATGACAATATACTTACAATGGGGAATTTAGGACTTGTCAGAGTGTGTCTGTGTGTGTTTATTTACTTTACATTATATTTGAGGGGGAATGAGTAGGGGTACACAATACCCCTTACTCATTCATATGGGGGGAAGCAAATCTGGTATGCACCCTTATTTTAAAGCGGGCTTACAGATTCAATTATCCCCACACCCATGGACCTCCATGACCACCAGACCAGGGTTATAGCAAAGAGGCCTTTCTCCCTTGTAACATGGGGACAAGGTACTTTGCCTACTTTGTTCCCCCCTGGGAGGTACCCTCCACATATTGAGAACATGCAGCCTGGCATGGTTCAGGAAGGGGTGGGGCACAAGCTACTTACAACTACCCTGGGCCTGTTTTATGCCCAAAATGACTCTCGTTATTCAAGTTATTTTATGTTTTTTTCACAGAAAGGAAAAAAATACTA